CCGCCCCACACCTCCGCCGGGCCACGGCCTGCCCATCGTCAAAACCACAACCACACCCGACGGCCAAAGCCTCGACTGGGTGCCCATCTCGTCGCAAGGCGACATCGCCAAGCCGCCGCCGGCGTCCCTCCTGAAGCGCGCACCCACCCGGCAGGACGCGGCCGTGGTGGCTGCCATCAAGCCCGCGGACGCCGGGCCCGCCGGAACGGTGCCGATCTTCCGGGCCCACGGCCCCACCAAGCCGATGAAGCGGCTCCCCCGCCCCGGCGACGACAATGCCACGGCAGCCGCGTCGGCGCGCTCCCACCGAGGCACGCACTGGTACGCGAGCACGGCGCAGAACGCCAGCAACCACGGCGGGACCGCCACCTACAGCATCTTCAAGGCCTTTGTGCAGCAGCCCTCGGACTTTTCCCTGCTGCAGGTCGCCGTCATCCGCAACGACGCCGCCCACGCCGGGACGCCGCCCAAGAGCCAGACCGTCGAGACCGGGTGGATCAACTACCCCGGCCAGGTCGCCGCTCCGCACCTCTTCTCCTTCTACACGACCAACAACTACGAGTCGTACGGCGACAACGTCTGCGGCTGGAACCGCGACGTCGCCGGCTGGGTGCAGTACGACGCCGAGATCTACCCCGGCATCGCGTACGCGCCGCTCGCCACCATCGGCGGCGACAAGTACGAGGCGGACATTGGCCTCTACTACTACCGGGGCAACTGGTGGCTGCACACGCTGGGCCGGTTCGTCGGCTACTACCCCGGCGGCCTGTTCTCCAGGGGCGTGAGCCCCGCCGACACTCTCGACCACCACTCGGACCAGATCAACTTCTACGGCGAGGTTTACAACAGCGAGGACGAAATGACCACCACCGACATGGGGAGCGGCGAGCTCCCCGGCAAGGGCTTCGGGCGCGCCGCCTACATGAGGAGGATTGCCTACTACGACACGGCGGACGAGTTCCAGAACTATGACGGAAGTCGCGGCGTCGTCATAAGCGATCAGAATAGGTATGACCTGTCGCCGACCTGGAACTCGGGGTCGGACTGGGGAAGCTACTTTTATATCGGAGGTCCAGGGGCCGGTGGTGTCGTTGGAGCCTAGGCGGGTTGTGCACCGAGTCAAGGGGAGAGAGAACAGGAAGGGTATGAGACTTGAGTCTGCGCCGTGAGGCAGACAGGGACTTGGGTTGGACCAAGGCAGGGAAACAACAAGGTCGCTGCCTTTGGGTTTTGAGGATGTACTTGCCGCCATCTAGGGTCACTTTCGTTTCCCGGGACGTGTATTGTTTGGAAATACCGCACAACGCACAACGCGTGACTCGTGGCTCATGACAATCTCGGTCCGCGACGCGGCAATTCTCAGCTCTGCCAAGTGCTTGTTTCTGGGACATGGTCTTGTTCTTGTACATACATGACAACCTATGGAATTCATGTACACCGACTGTGCACACAACGGCACTGACATGACCTCGTACCCAAGGTTCTTTCCGTCAGTGATTACAACTACAATACGCGTCGCCACGGGGAGAGCCCTGTTCAAATTGTACGTATCAACGCCAAATG